CAATTACAGTGGCCGATTACTACACTTGGCACAGGAACCGATCTGTCTAATGCAACGGTAGACACAATGGTGGGAGGGCGCAGTACAGTAACTATAGTAACCAACAACAGTTAATGAAGATGCATGCTGGCTGTTTGTAAGTGTATGGTTGTTTAGAAGCTATTGGAACGTATTTAAGGCGAGCAGCGCGTTCCATGAAGGCGCTATCCTGTCTGCTGCCATCCCCCACGCCCCGCTGTCAGCCGGTATCCACCAGCCGATTAGTGATCCTTCAGGTCCGCATTCCTCTCGTAAACTTAAGCATTATCAAATTATCCCGGCCCGTGATGTTACCTGATGCCTGATATGCCAGAAATGTAAAATCGCGTGAGATTTATATGGGATTAATGTAAACCACATGGGTACGGGATGGGGGAGGACAATCACACTCATGCTCATAGGTATTGAAGATTAGACTGGTTACCAACCCTATTGTAGCTGCCGAGTCTCATATTTGCGGAGAGGACGGCAGCTACAATAGGTTTGGTAACCTGGCTATCTGAACAGTGCTAGCTCCTAAAAGGGCTGTAGGTTTCTGAACAAGCTCAGTGGTGACTGTACCAAAAATTTGTCAAAGTGTCCAATTAATGTACTTTAGATAGATGATTAGACAAAAAGGGCACATACCAGAAAAAAAACAGGACTTACAGCTGTCCCATTCTCGTTGTATCACGGTGACTGACTTGTTTTTAAAAGCGTCTTCAAAACAATAGAACCCACGAAACTTATTGTGATGCTGGTACTACATAATCAATGTCCCTTTACCACCACTCCCTCCCCATTGCCCACCCCTTTCACAATTGTATACCTACTAAAGTGTTTCAATCAACGGTAAGCTAATGTTTACAAACAATATATAGCTGTCGGCGGCGTTATTGCGGACTTATATGAACCCCCCTTTATGAGATCCACGTGTCATATACAGAGATATGACTTGTGGATAGTCGGTAGTCACAACACTATTTCATCAGGGAAACCACTACTGCTGGAGTGCCAAGGAATGTCGATACGTATTAGTGTCCAAATCTTCTGCAATAGCACCAAATATTTATCTCATTTCTGTCAGAATCATAAGAACTCAAACTGATAAGAAAATGGCAGATGTGTGCAAATTGTAAGTTGGCAATGTGAGTCCAATAGGTGGTTATCTTTTACTCCATTGGCTTTTCTGTACTGGATGTAAATAAAAATGTAAGACTCTTGCTAAAACATAAAAGGCTCCGCTGATACGACGTCGACCTATAGGACTTGTAAAACAGCATGCTTCTTGTAAAATAGCTAAGGCTACTTTAAAAACGATCGTGGGTAAAATTGAAAAGTCACCAAAAACAGCAAATTTATTATAAGTATACTATTTTGGAAGACAATGCGGGGTGTTGGTGGAGTTTTGAAGAGATTTTTTTGTGTTCTCTAAAAGTAGGTCACCATACAGACTTGTATTCAATGCTTGAAGCTTTCAATGCCCGTT